ATCAAAAGATAAAACATAGTTCCCACTCTAATGCGAAGTGCAAACATTTCTATGGCTGGTTCAAATGAGGTTGATTAACATCACCTTCTTCATTCTTATATGCAACATCTTCGTTCAGGTAAGCTCTCTGCATTTCGATGTCTATCCTGAGGCTTTAGATTTCAGACCAGAAAAGGAACCACAAGGCCTAAATCGCCGAAGCCAAAGGTCGTCAAACTCGAAGACTGGGAGAAAATCACTGTACATATGGTTCCACCAGCAAACTGGGAAACGCTCAATATACCACAACGGATAAAAAGCTATATGGAACATACATGGTCGCAAAGTTCCTATACGGATAAATGCAGCGAGGATAATCCTTTGCATGTAGGCATTAAAGTCACAAAAAAAAAACTTCTGGGATTGATCTCTAGTTTCTCTCATGAGTTTTACGGATAGTACCTTCAGATTGTTCCTGTGTATTTTTGGCCTGGTGACAAAGTTGATCTTCCATGTCTCATGTGCGAATTGGCATTTGTTTTCAACGGTAAAATGAAGATGTGGGGAAAAGCAACAAATATTCTGAAATTTTTGGAAAATCCAAAGGTGAGCAAGTTTTACGAAACGCTCTTAGCAACAAGCTTCTTAAATTTGGTCATCTACTTGGGGTAGATAAGATTCAGAGGCCCTAACCAAGCCTTTGCCCGCAAGCGCTCAATGGTTTCATTCTAGGCAACTCTAATCCGCACTCGAGCCGTAGTTTTTCCTAATTGGCGACCAATCGACGTTCAAACACCGTTCTCTCATTGGTTAGCGAGCAAGAGTACTGTTCGGGCAATATTAGAGTCACATTAACCAGCCACAGATGACATGAGTTGCTATTTGAGAAAACCTTTTTTGAGGCCTCCCAGATTACTCCATAAAAGTTCAAGATAACTAAGCACTCAAACTTGTCGTTAGAAATCTCAGTTCTGAGGTTATTTCGATTTATATTTTTTTACAAACCATGAATTATGCTTAATGAGAACAACAAACCCACCTATTTTTGAACTTTTTTATCAACTTGGGCAGATACAATTATCGTCATTTCTTCCTTGAGGAAATGAGGAAATTCATGAAAATATACAAAAGATTCCCTTGATCAGTCACGATGTCATTTTTGCTGACAAATCTGTATCTACTATTATTTTTTTATATTATTTATTTTCAGCGAACAGCCCGTTACAATTCAAAATACTGGTCATTAGTAGCAAATGCCGACAGGTCGTACAGTATGTCCGATACGTGCATTCCTTTATACAAAATGTCAATTTAGAACTTCTCAAAACGCAAGCAAGGATATAATAGATTTCATGCCAGAAGTAAAGAATACAAATAAAGAGAAAGTCAACTTCGATAAATTACCACCCTTTTATCTCCAGAGGAACGGGAAGCTGAGCATTTTTCGTGTAAACAAAACCTTTTTTAAGCCTTTCAGAGTTTCGAATACGTATTTTCAGGCAAGTCCAGCATCACAAGGGGTTTATTTTTGTTACGATAGCCAATCACGATCGCATACGTCAATTTTCTATGTAGTTATGGCAATGACACCACCAGTACGAATGTCTGAGATGAGAGATGTGCTGGGTATGCTGACAATAACGATACGCAATTTTACACAGTATATT